TGCTAGCAATGGTGGCAGCCGGTCAGAGCCATGATGGGTGCCTCAAATAAACGGCTGCCATGGCTGCATTGCGCTTCAATTTTTCCCGGCTATAAAGGCAGCCTTACTCCCTAATTAAGCCCGCCTGCAGGGGTGCTTTGTTCATTCCCAAGCCCAGCCGTGAGGGCTTCTCTATGCATCAATCAGACCCAGCCGTAGGGTCTGCTTCTTAATTGCCTCATTTATGCCCGGTTGCCGTGGTTGCTTTGTTCAACCTCAAAGCCGGTTGCAATGGCTGCTATATTATTCATCGTTATTATTATATAGCTGCTCCATTTCTTCTTCTTGCCTTAACAAGTCAGACTCGGCAATTATAGCTAACTAGCAGAGGTGGTTAGCAAGGATGGAGCCGGTCAGCATCATCAAACATAGTCGGTCAGCGTTATTAAAAATGTCAGCCCGCCTGTGTTCGATTTAAACCTTGTACAAGCGGCAAGAAGCGTTTGGTGTGTGCTTGGCCCCAAACTACTGTGAGTATCAATAGGGTCATCCGGTTACAATCATCAAGTTATTAACCCGGGTGCAACACACTCCATACCGCCTGGGTTGTAGTCAATTAAACCCGGCTATGGGGGTTGCTTTGAACAACCTCAAAAACGGCTGTGAAGTGAGCTAGCAAGAGCATTGTAAACTTGTTCAAGCGGCAGCCAACCTAAGCAAAGGTCAGACGGCATAGAAAGCCGCATGTGTGATCAGAGAAAACCTATTTCTCGAGCTAAAAGCTTTTTGACATCTCATGCTCGCTTGTCATCATTTGAAGAGCTCATTCTCATGAATAAAGCAAAGGGCAGTTTTCTCCATCAAATTTAATCCGGCTGTAGTTGCAACTCTCTTGGCCAATTTACCCTGGTTGCCAAGGCTCAAGTGCTCGTCAAATATACCCAGCCGTGGGATGCTTTGTTCATTCTCAAGACCAGCCGAAGGGGCTGCTTGGTTGTTCATTAAGAGTGGTTGTGTCTTTGATTCTTTGAGCTCGATGACAGGGGTTGCGTTGTTCATCAACACATCCCCCTGTTTTGATTAAAAAATCATCAAGCATTGTCTCTTCTTCGGCTGTAGTGGCAGCTTTGCTCATCACAAAAGCTGGCTGTATGGGCATCCATGCTCAACAATTTACCCCGGTTGTATGGGCACCCAGGCTCATCAACTAATTCCGGATGTAGGAGTTGTTTCCGGCCTCAACAAAACCGGCTATGAGGCTTCTTTATGCCTCAACTAAGCCCGGCTGAAGGGGCTGCTGCATTCAACCTCAAGAACGGCTGCAATGTCATGAAGAATTAACGGGTGTATCACCCCTTAAGCAGCGTTTGTGCGTGAAGCCTAGTTGGGCTACCATGCAAAATTGCAAATCATTATTATGATTTCAAAAAAAAAAAAATCAACCTGATCATTCAGGTGGGAAAGGACGTCTGTCTACATGATCATTTTGGAGGAAGAAAAGAGTTTGACAAGCCACATACGACACTTTGACAACAAACTTGCTGTTACATGATGAGAATAAATACAACTCACTCAAAAAAAGCTTGCTTGGAGTTTTCTTGAGACGGACAAACAACATCAATGTCGGGCTGCCTTGTGCATCCTCAAGCCTGCCTGCAGTGGCATTGTTGCTCATCAAGTAAGCTGGTTGTGGGGGCTGCTGTTCTGCTTTGTTCACCAATAAAATCCGGCTGCCATGGCTGTTTTGTTCAACCTCAAAGCCGGCTACCATGGCTGCTTTGTTCATTAACCAAGGCCGGCTGTATGTGCTGCTAGGGGCTGTTAAAGTTTGCCCGACTGTAGGGGCTGCTTGGATCAAGCGCCTGACACTACCCATTACTCGAAGTATATAAGCAGTTGTGCCATTAGATTGTAATCAACCTAGCCCGGCTATGGCATTGGCTCATTGAGCTTGACTAATCAATTATGTCAGGCTGCGTGGCTGCTTTGTTTCATCATAAAAAGAGAAAGAACCGGCTGACATTACATATTACTCAAGTATATATACGGCTGTGGCTATATATATGCCGTCTAAGTAGTGAGCAACCAATCTCTAATTATTTACTTGAGCTCGGCTACCAAGCAGAAAACTTCCATATGTCAATGGTTGAGTTCACTCACTCGGTAATCATGGAGACGCTCGACCTCTAAAGTAGCAAGAAGGCTCACCTCGTTGTATAGCTTACCCAAAGCAGCTACAAACAAGAGAGTTCTATTGTAAGCTTAGTCTATTCAAGCAAAAGCCGACCAACCTTTGAGAACTTGTGTTCGAGCTTGTATGAGTTAGCATAGGCGGCAAAACTAAAATGAAAGCAAGCGCCATGAAATAACAAAAGCCGCAAGATACTACAGCAAAGAGCTTGTAATATCTCCGGCTGTGATTGCATATGCTCGTGAGGCATTTAAAGAGCCAGAAGCTTAAGCATGCCAAGCGGCATATATAGGTTTAAGCCTAGCCGAATGTATATGGACTTAAGCTTGTAAATTTTGGCATTGAAATTCCATCTAAGACCAAGAGGAATTAATTTATGCGGCACCCTCACTGACACTAAGAAAGCCGCCTCTCAAGTTCATGGCAGTCAAGTATGGAATACTATTAATTGTTGCCCCATGCTGCCAAGTTAGGCGTGTTAAGAACAAATGTGGCATGCAAAATACAAGTATATGTCAAGGTGCCTTGTAACTATTGAGCTGGTACCATCAAGCCCTAACGAGGTAACTTTTTATTATTGTTAGTATTGACATTATTGAATATTAATTAATTGAATAAACTAAGTTATAAACTTAGTAGCTAAATTAACGTTCAAGTGACGTGAGGCCAATGGCCGGATAATAAACTAAGTTTGAAACTTAGTAGCTAAACAAACGTCCAAGTGACGTGAGGCCAATGGCCGGATAATAAACTAAGTTTGAAACTTAGTAGCGAATTCAACGTCCGAGTGACATGCGGCCAGTGGCCAGATAACTAAACTAGGCACAAAACCGCTTAGTGGCTATACAGCCGGTCTCAACCTAGACCAGAGGCCAATGGCCGAATGGTTGCTTTTTTCATAAAATCGTCTGTCCCAACATGGACAATGGCGTCCGGCGACACCCCTCCGGGTGCAATCGTCGTAGAAAGCACTCTATCGTTTGCTTTACGTACGCATGCAGGCGGCAAAAATTGAACGACCTCATTGGTCAACTCATAGCCGCCTGACCTGGGTAATCTAAAGAACGACCAAGTCTTCGGGAACCGGATGTCCAAAAGACATCAGCCGGTGATCGACCAAAGTTCTAACCTAGATTACCTTCCGAAATTATACAAGTCCTCCCAATGGGGTAGAAGGACATTGAGAGTATAATTGGATTACAAACACCCCAGGCGGCCACTTGCCTCCTGCCCTATGAATAGTCAGGCGGCCATTTGCCTCCTGCCCCCAGGCGGCCATTTGCCTCCTGCCCTGTGAATAGTCAGGCGGCCATTTGCCTCCTGCCCTATGAAGAGTCAGGCGGCCATTTGCCTCCTGCCCCCAAGCGGCATTTGCTTCCTGCCCCCAAGCGGCATTTGCTTCCTGCCCTGTGAAGAGTCAGGCGACCATTTGCCTCCTGCCCTATGAAAAGTCAGGCGGCCATTTGCCTCCTGCCCCCAGGCGGCATTTGCTTCCTGCCCCTAGGCGGCATTTGCTTCCTGCCCTAGAAGAGTCAGGCGGCCATTTGCCTCCTGCCCCCAGGCGGCATTTGCTTCCTGCCCTGTGAAGAGTCAGGCGGCCATTTGCTTCCTGCCCTATGAAGAGTCAGGCGGCCATTTGCCTCCTGCCCCCAGGCGGCCATTTGCCTCCTGCCCTGTGAATAGTCAGGCGGCCATTTGCCTCCTGCCCCCAGGCGGCATTTGCCTCCTGCCCCCAGGCGGCATTTGCCTCCTTCCCTACGAAGAGTCAGGCGGTCATTTGCCACCTGCCCCCAGGCGGCCATTCGCCTCTTGCCTTATGGGATGTCAAACGTCTCAAAAATATTCTAAGTCTCTCAAAGGTCATATGACCACCATAGTGGGGCTAAAAGAAATAAAAGTCGTCATCTGTCTAGTTCAGGCGGCAATCATTATTATGATTGATTAACTTAGAAAATATCATACCATTTAAGGTATCAGATTTTCCAAGTTAATCAAATCCCTCTTTTATTGAACTAGACATATGCCGCCCATAGAGCTTTTGAACAAGCGGAAAATAAAGCCTTGATTTCGAAAGGAGTAATTCCTCTTGAAAGAGAAATTACCCCTTCCGAGGGGCTAATGTTTGAGGGTAAAAATACCCCCTATATATGTGGACCAATGACACCTTGACACGTGTCCGCAAGCTCAGCGCTCAATGAGCCAGTTAGAGCATGACACGTGTCACTCAAGGATAGAATGGTGAAAATGGGCTCTAAGTCCACAACCCTAGAACTCGTAAAACGGTGGGAAGCCAATCTACTTAGGTTAAATAACCTAAGAGGCACATATCCCAATTCTCTATAAATACTGATCATTACATCAGCTTTAAAGGATCGAATTCTCTCTCCAAGGGCAATGCCCCCCACATTTACTCTCCCTTCTCTCTACTTTCTCTCTCTAAAATACATTATTTTGGTCACTGACTTGATCGTCGGAGGCGGACCTCCGCCCCCCCCCCCCCCGAGTCCGTTGTTTTGCAGGTGATCGGGCCGTTCGAGTGTTGCATTGCAGATCTGTCTCCCGAGGGACGTACACACCCTCCATTCGGGTACGTACAAAAAACCCCAAAACAATTATAATGATAGCTTAATTAATAATGGTCATTGAAAATTAACATAGTTAATATTTATAAGATAAACTAATATATTTTGAATATTGTACGAGTATAAGATATACATGAAGACCCTTAAATAGTTAAATCTAGTGCAACCAGGCCACATGTGAATAGTAATTTGTAAACCCTATTTTAATTTAAGTTCCAATTTCTCCCTTCAAATCCCGTTCTTATACAATGGCGAACAAATTGCCGGATTTATCCATGGATTTGTGGAAGGATATCTTAGCAAGGTTGCCCGCGAAAACCCTAATGAGATTCAGGTGCGTTTGTAAAACCTGGTGCTCTATAATTGATTCTTCTGATTTCATTTTTTTGCATCATCAAATTTACGACAACAACAAACACAAGTATGTAATAGCAAGAAAACTCGGTGAATATAGCATTTATAGTATCGATACATTCATGAAAATTGATGTTTTCTCCAAAACTCCTGATCGTTGCGTTGTTGTAGGGAGTTGTAATGGATTGGTTTTGATGTATTCCTTAGCGTATAAAAACATTCAGATGATGATTTATAATCCTTGTATTCGAAAGTCCGTTGTTATTCCACCTTGCCCTTTTAGATCGATGGGATATAGAATAGATCATTGGCTTGGTTTTGCTCCGTCGAGTAAGGATTATAAGTTGCTTGCTTACGGGTGTGCTAGTCTTAAGTCTCCCGAGTTTTCAATCGCGGTTTATTCATTAAATGATCGCGTTTGGAGGATCAAAGATAGGTCGGATGCACACGTTCGAGGCCTTAGTTTTAAAGATGAGGATACATTTTATGTTAAGGGTGGTGTGTATTGGTTTGGATATGATCCGGACAAACCTCGTGGCTTACATACTCATCTTGGGTGGTTCGATTTTGATTCCGAGGAATTTAACTTGGTGGATTTGCCTGATGCTCTTAAACAAACAGGGCTCGTTATTAAAACTAGTTTTGTCCTCGGTGAGTCTATAGCAGTTTTCGGTATGTCTTCGGATTGTACCTTCATATGGGTTTTGATCGAGGATGGTGGGAATAAATCATGGCAACTGTGGTATAATGGAGATTCAAATGTAAAAGCTCTTGGGTTTCTTACAAGAAGTATTTGTACGGGGATTTTCGATGTTGAGAAGAATACATTTTTCGTATTTGATAATGAGAGGTTGTATTCTTATAATTATAAAAGTCACCACATACAACTTGTGGAAAATTATAATGATGGTCGTAAATTTTTTTTCACTTTTAAAGAGAGTTTAGTACTGCATACAAAAAACAAGGGTATGGACAAGACGGCTGAATATCAAAGAAGATCTGTAAAGTTTTGTTGATGTTTTCTTGAAGATGCTTCATGTGTTATTAGAAAAGAGGATGGATGAGTGTGAACTGTGAAGTGTTATGTTGCTTGTTCTTCGTCTTTACTTTAAATAATAATTATGTCATACAAAATTACCTTAATTTTCATACTAATGTTAATTCACAGCTTAATGTGAAGTGTTATGCTGCTTGTTCATCATCTTTACTTTAAGTAATGGTTTTGTTATAGCCTTGTAGGAACATGAAATTGATGTACGTTTAATTTATTATAAATCTAATTCGCCTTTAATTCTCATGCTAATGTTAGTTCACCAATTTACATATACATAAGATAAAACACCTACTATTGTGATTAATTTGAAGCAAATAAATATTTGATAATCATACGGCTTGTCTAATATCAATATGTGCCATTACAAATTACTAGTGGAACAAAGTCATAGCAAATTATCATCATGTCACCTAGGGCTTAGGCCATGTTCTTTTTATTTGAAGAAAATAATATTTCGTCTCAAAATAATTTAATTTTAGTATAGTAAAACTAATTTAGTTTAATCACCATTAAATCCAATTGATTCAGTTGATCTGATATAATATCGAAGTTATTTGTAGTGTTGTGTGTTGCAAGTTAAGCTACATCATACATTAATTATACTCAAGATGACATGATACGACACTACTTGACTAAATCTACTTGATCCGGCTTAAGTTGAACACTTTGATCAAAGAATTCTTCAATCAACTTTCATTGGTCATAAGAAGAAAATGGAGATAGAAGCTACTAATTATAAAGAAAGAAACACAAATTGCAGTCCCTGTTATTATTAAGATCTTATAACTGACATACCATTGTAACAATGTTCATATGTCTAAATCACACAATTAAAATGAAAACTAATCAAGAAACGAAAGAATAAATCTCAGTTGGACCTAATACTGAGAAATCATACTGATTGACACACTAAGTATCACTAACATACCTAGAATTATTCAGAACATTTCAGTACTATGACATAAACTGGTGAATCTAGAAATAAGCTACTGACATGCCAAGCTATAACAGAATTCTGAAGCAACTATACTCTGTCTTCCTGTATGTTGCCACTTCCCTCATCTTAATCACTCCCATTAGACGTGTCACCTTCCCGTCCTGCGAGTGTTTCTGCTATCAGTGGGGCATTTTCAGAAGCAGCAGCTGTGTTACTGTCGTCGACATCACCCTCAGGCTCTGCAGCTGCACTAGTGATGGTAGCAGTAGGCTGCAGTTGAATTGTAGGCAAGGGCCAGGGAAATAGTACTGATGTGCTGTCAGAAGGCGCAGTCCTCGGTGCAAGAAACGGGTGTTTCAGGAGTTGAGTTATTGTAGTTCCGACATCTTCAAAAAACACACACACCTGAATGAAGCTCTTAAGCCCTTGGTCTTGTACTTTTTTTAACAGCCTAAAATCCATTTTTCGCGATGTGCTGTCTGCAGCATCCTTATTCACCATCTGTAGCGCGCACAACCCAACACAGTACATCTCAGACCGCTCTATCCTTCGAGTAATAACAGCATTGTACTCAGGACTATCAACAGTCGTCGCGACACTCAAATCTCCTAGCTTAATCTTGCCTGAGTTTCCAACAACAAAGATGTTTTCGCACTTTAAATCACCGTGAATAATCTGTTCATTTTGACTGTGAAGAAATTCAAGCCCTGACAGAATCTGTTGACACCAATTCTTGATTGCTGGACTGTTTTCTTTAACCTGATGTTTCTGAGTGTAATCCTTCAAATTCCCAGAATAAAGCTCAGTAATCATGTTAAACTCAACTTTGTTCTGTAATCCAGAAGGCCAATAATGGTAGCATTTGATTACATTTTCGTGATCAAATCTCTTTAAAGACATAGCTTCTCTCATCAAATGAACAAGATTATTAAGTAATACAAATTTCTTACACCAAGCAACTTCTCTGCCATTAGTCTCATCATATCCCAAATAAACTTTTTTAAGATCGCCTTCATCAATCAGCTTACTGTACCTTGTGTATTGCCCTGTAGGATCTGTCTCCATGACCGTATAATCGCCGTCTCCTCTGCTTGAACTCGAACCCGCCATTACTTGTTAAGAATAACAGCAAAACAGAACTAAAGAAAAATTTGCAATGGAATCAAGCTAATGAAGTTGATTTCTACGGATTAATGGAATTTTTGTTGGGTTTTTAGGAGAAAAAACAGAATGTTTGAAATAATGGGTTGATGATGAAATGAATTAGAAATTTAGAACGATATTTATAATGGCAAGTGTTTAGGTTGTTGCTTATATCCAAACCGATTTTATCCAGTTGTAGTTAGTTAAATCAGTTATCAAGATCAAGAATTAGAAATTGCCCTTTCTTGATTTTTTTAATTTTAGAAAAAAAAAATAAAAAAAAATCTTTAATTTGCCCTCTGTTCAATATTTTTTTTTTTTTTAATTTTATTTAAGATATATTTCTTATCCTATTTCTTAAAAGTGAATAGTAACTGCTACTTATAGTCTACTAGTAACAAAAAAATCGTTTTTTGGTGAACACTTAAAAAAAAAAAAAAAAAAAAAAAAAAAAAAAAAAAAAACCCTAAATTGTCTATTAATCAAGAATTTTATATATTATTCAATAAAATTGGTGTTCATAATTTCACATTTTGTTGATGACGGGTAAAAATATTAAATGAATTTTTATTCCTTGATCGTTAAAGTATTGAAGCGTCAGTGCGTTACAATAATGGGAGTGATTTTAATATTTTACTCCGAGTAAGCATATTCAATTAAACTATTGTTGGGTCTAGTTAAACACATTTGTTTCAAGTTAAAGTGGCTCTATGCTCTATCTGTATTGACCGTATAGTAGACTAGTAGTAGTAGTCTAAATGGGGGGGGGGGGGGGTTTGAAATATTATTAGTGATTCACATATTGTTCATTAGTCGCATTTATCTTATATTATTTTGAAGCTAATTACCGGTTGTATTGAAATAGACATAAATTTACTTACTTAGCCTCATTAAAGACACTACACGATTATACCATGCACTAGCCAGCTCTAATTGTCATACTAACTTGATCCGGCTCAAGAATTGAACACTTTATTTGAGACCTCTAGTGATGAAATTTTTTTGCCCTTGCTTAAGACACTTAAATAGTAATTAAGTTATAGAGTAACGAGATGAGAGGATTGAAAAGTAAGGAAATTGTACGTGGAAAGACACTAATGACTAATTACACAGTAAGAAAATCAAATTGCATAGTCTGGATCACATTTTATTAAAATCTTATAACTAACACACCAATGTTAAATCACACGCCAACAAATGGCAATGGACATACGAAAGATATAAATCTCAGTTGGACCTAAAACAGAGAAATCATACTTATTGACACACTAAAGTATCACTAACATACCTAGAATTATTCAGAAAATTCCTGTACTAAACCAAAGTCTAATTTTGTACTAAAGAATCAATTAAACTGATGAGCCTAGAATAAGCTACTGCCAAGAAATAACAGCCTTCTGATAATCTGATGCAACTACATATTGTGTCTTCCTGTTGCCACTTCCCTTGTAAGTACTCCGATCAGTCGATTCACCTTGCGAGTGTTTCCGGATTCGCCAGACCCGCTGCATTAGCTGTCAGTCGGGCCTCTTCATCATCAGATGTGCCTATGTTAGGCAAGACAGGCATTCCCTCTTCATCAGCAGATGTATTGATGTCAGGCAGGACAGGCATTTCCTCTTCAACATCATCAGATGCATCGATATCAGGCAACACAGGCATTCCATGCTGCTGCTGTTGCTGATCCTGCTGCGCGTCTTGGTTCTGTTGGACCTCTTCATCAGATGCGACTGCATTATTGTCATCAGGCATTCCATGCTGATGTTGTTGTTGTTGCTGATCCTGTTGCCCGTCTTGGTTGTGTGGTATTATGATTGGGGGAGCACCTGTCTGATGATTCACGACAGTTCTCTCAGTAGATGAAATTCGAAGAGATGAAACACTGTCAAAGATATAAACCATGTAACTGTCGTTGCCATCATATTCAGCCACAAGTTTTGCTATCAGTAGCTCCATACTCTCAGAAATTGATGCGGCCTCTACATTAGACAGATTAAGTGCTCGTCTTAAAACCTCCATGAGTCGCTGAACTGTATCATGATTGACTGTAAACACAAAATTATCACTGATAAACCTTATCCTAACAAACCCGACTATCATTGCACCGCCCCTTAGTCCCACTATTTGTCCTCCTAAGGTGAATCTCCCACGCCCTCTGTCAATTTCCCTAGCAGACGGCAGCAGCAATACATCCATCTGATCATTTACAGGAACACTCACATTCGGATCACTTGGTGCAAGAAACGGATCATTCAAGAGATCAGTTACAGTAGTCACAACACTTGTAGGAATCAGACACCTCCGAATGAACTTCTTAAGCTGCAGATCTTTCACTCTTCTTAGTTCAGCAGGCATTACACACGACCCTACCTGTCTCCTCTCCACATCTTTCTTAGTCAACATCTGTAACACGGTCATCCCAAAATAGTATATCTCAGACCGCGAAAAATCAAAAAGATCAGCACTAGCTTCAGGAGCAAGTGGTGCTTCCCAACCCATAAACGCGGCTTCATTCAGATCTCCTATCATAACTGAACCTGTTTCTCCAACAACAATGTTTTCACACCTAATACTGTGATGAATAATCGCCGGATTTCGTTGGTGAAGATAATGTAACCCTTCAAGAATCTGTCGACACCAAATCTTGATTGTAGGCAATACAGTACTATCTAAAATCAAGCGATTATTCCTGATAAAATCTCTCAAATTACAAGAATATAACTCAGTAATCAAGTCAACCGTGTTCGAGTTTGGATCAACCCAAGAATCGTAGCATTTGAGTATACTAGGATGGTCAGAATCCATCAAATCTTGAGCTTCATCCATCAAACCATCATAATTTTGCTCTGTTATATTCTTCTTAATCCAAGCAATAACTCTGTTATTAACTCTGTTTAATCCCTTGTAAACTACTTTCGATGCATCTTGTTCAATGGTGTTATCGTACTTTGTGTATTGCCTTATCGTATCATCGTCTCCATGTGAACTCGAAGCCGCCATTACTAGTTAATAACAACAGCAAAACAGAACTTAGGTTGGTGAATCAAGTTGATTCTAATGGATGGAATTTTTTGTTGTGTTGCAAGTAAAAAACAGAAGGAATTTTGGAGTATGTAGTACGCGGTAATTGAATGAGTTGATGATGAAATGAATTAGAATGGTAGTGTAAAAGGGTATTTATAATGGTTAGTACTTCGTTGTTACTTATTATAACCAAACCATAATATATATCAACTGATTAATATTCAATTTATCCATTTGTTGTAGTTAGTTAAGTTAGTTATCAAGATCAAGAAATAAAAATGCCCTTTCTTGATTTTGATTTTTAAATTATGATGAAATGAATCTTTATTGGAACGTATCCAACAAGTTGAGATGTTCTTATTGAGATGTTCTTTACAGAGAAGATTGTCCAGTTTGACATTTATACAGTTTGGGTTGGTTCCAGAAAATATCAACTGTATTTTTCACGATTTGATTTGGGTTATGCCTCTAAACAATCCGCAAACACCCCCTAAATAAAACAGGTTAATATTATAAATTGATAAATTATATGTAAAAGACAAAGTGTTGCAATTTAAAGGGAATGGAGAATGTATATTAATAAAAGATTTTATAATTGTATTTTGTCCGATTAAAACACAAGGACAATACAAATTACAAAGGAGAGTAAATTCAACATATTGTAAGTTGGGCCTTATTTTTAAACTAAACCAAGACCTTATTAGTAGATGCTAAATATTGTGAGCATTTAGAAAATAATTACTGTATTATTTTCAATTGACTTAATTTACAACTTATCAAGCACAATACATATAGTGGAACACGTCAAGCAATATTAAATTATTGGCTAACCACTCCAAATTTTAAACAAGTCTAACAAACAACAAAGTATATACGAACTATATATCTATGCATAATAGTATAGCTTTTCTTATCTAAAATAATGATGTTGATTTCCTTTATTAGAATGGATACAATAATAAAATCAAATGAAATTCTCATGTCTTTGTCCTTTTTGTCAGATCATCAATAGAAAAATAAAATAATAGAAAATCCAATTCTTCATTATTTCTTTAAGGGTTTGTCATGTTCACATTTGCTGAATTGAGCTGAACTCAATTAAACTAAAATGATTGGAGCTGAAGTAAACTGAACTGAATTGAACTAAAATTAAGCTGAAGTGAACAGGCCCTACGGGTAATAGAATTAACAATATGGTTAGCAATTCCATACATTAGCATTAACTCATACTAGTTCATTTTATACTATACAAAGTATTAAAATTTAATTAATAAATCAATTCCCTTTTTTCAAACTATATTAAAATTGTACTTCTATAAAAGACAAATAAAACTATACAAATAATGATTTAAATACGAATAAAAAAAAATGACACTTATGTTATGTAGTAGGAAGTATTTATTTTATTTTTTAGGGAGTAATAAGATAAAAATCCATAATAAACCATCACATCACCAACTCCATTAAATCGCTTGGTAAAAGCAGTGGACTTGTGGTATCTTAATCTATGATTATACTCTAAATTATTCAAATATACCGCTCAACAAAATCTATAATTTCTAAGTTAAACTAAGATTTTGATAGACGACCATAATCAACGGATCCCACATTTAAAAAAGACGTCTACTAGATAGACTACTACAGTACGAACTTTATTACGTACATCATTCACTTTATTTTATTTGGACTAACCACTGACTATTAAACACCATTCATGAATCACGATCCATTTCAACCAATAATTCATCATTTTCATCAAACTTTCCAACCTTTTTTGAAACGCTTTATATTCATCCATCCATTCATTCCTCCATTATTATTCTTCTGCTACCCTACATAAATATACCAACCATTCATTCATTCACTCAATCACTTATTTTCTATTCACCATTATTATTTTATTCATTCATTCATCTCCCATTTTCCTCCATTACGTAACCATGGCACCCGAAATCGGAACCGGAACCGGAACCGAAACCGAAACCAGAACCGAACCCGAAACAACTCATATCTTAGTGATCCCATACCCAGCACAAGGTCATATGATACCATTGTTAGATCTCACGCACCACCTTTTATCCACGCGCCGCCTTACCATCACCATCGTAACCACCCCAATGAACCTTCCTCTTTTATCTCCTCTTCTTACTCTTTTTCCTTCCAATATTACCCCTCTTGTATTACCCTTTCCTTCGGCTCCCGGAATTCCCGCCGGAAAAGAGAATACAAAGGACTTGCCGCCGGCGAGTTTCCGGCAGATTATACCTGCTCTGGCGAGATTGCGGGATCCGTTAGGTCACTGGTTCGAATCTCATCCCAGTCCTCCTTTTGCGATTATTTCGGATATGTTTCTTGGTTGGACGCATCGTTTTGCGGTTGATATGAAGGTTAAACGCGTCGTTTTTTCTCCTTCTGGGGGTATGGCTTTGTCCGTGATTTACTCCCTTTGGAAAAATATGCCTAAAGGAGGGGATCAAAACGGTGACGTTTTGTTTGAGGATGTGCCGAATTGTCCAAAATACCCTTGGTGGCAGCTGTCCCCAGTTTATAGGTCTTACGTGGAAGGGGACCCGGATTCGGAGTTGATTAAGGATGGGTTTTGGGATAATATGGCTAGTTGGGGGGTTTTGGTTAACTCTTTTGATGGGTTGGAAAGAGTTTATTTGGACCATTTGAGAGGTAGTATGGATTATGATGATCGGGTTTGGGATGTGGGCCCGTTGGTTCCCGCTACAGGGTACAATGATCGAGGTGGAGCTAGTTCGATTGAGGTGGATAAGATGTTAGCTTGGCTTGACACGTGTCGAGATAATGAGGTGGTGTATGTATCATTTGGAACCCAGGCTATACTAACAAGTCAACAAATTGAGGCGATCGCTGAAGGACTAGAAAGAAGTGGTGTTAGATTTATTTGGCCAATAAGGGACCATGTCACGGCTAACCAAATGGAAGGAGACCGTGACCGTGAGACGGTCATGACCGGTTTTGAGGATCGTATGACAGGCCGAGGGATTGTCATAAGAGGGTGGGCTCCACAAGTTCTGATTTTAAGGCATCGAGCAGTTGGCACATTCTTAACTCATTGTGGGTGGAACTCGATCCTTGAAGGGATCATGGCTAGTGTAATGTTGCTTGCTTGGCCATTTGGTGCCGATCAATTTTCAAATGCAACATTGCTAGTGGACTACTTGAAAGTTAGTGTTAGAGTTTGTGAGGGATCTAACACAGTTCCTAATCCATGTGACTTGGCTCAAATCTTAGCCAACTCGGCTAATCAAGACGAAGCTAGTAGACAAAAGATCATCAAATTACAAAGTAATGCATTAGAGGCTTTAAGTGAGACTGGAAGTTCTTCCAAAGCCTTATCTAGGTTTGTTAACAAGTTATGTGAGCTAAAGACTAGGCCTAAAAGTCACATCATTTCTCATAACAATCTCGTTGAATGATTTGAATGCTTAATGGTTGTATTATGTATTTTAGTATTTATGTGATGATAATGTAAGTTGGTTGAAGTTATGCATCTAGATTTATAATCGTTTACATGTGTAAAAAAATTAATAATAAATTACTTTATATAGTAATTTTTTAATTGTCATTTTTTCTTTGGGTGTAATAATCTTATTTTTTTTTAGGTAATCCTATTCATATTATTCAAAACTGTTGGCGTTAGAGATAATCTGAAACAAAATATTTTATGTACTGAGTACAATAAATAAAAAGATGATAATAAACATTATATTTTAAGAAAAAATGTTATACATAGCCCTTAGGGCTACATATAAGCATTAAAAATACTCTTGAAAACTGTTTAAATTTAGAAAAACATGACAAATTCACACTAATTACACTGATCTACGCGTGTTTTTGTCATGAATTCCTAATTTTATACAATTTCCAAGAGTGTTTTTAATGCTTATATATAGCCCTAAGGGCTATGTATAGCATTACCCATATTTTAATTAGGTATGTATTAGTCTATTGACTTTCTGGACTTATCATTTGTAATGATAATGATACAAAGTCATTAAAAAAAACGAAGAAAAAAACCCTAGCAAAATTTAAAACGTTAATAAATCTATGTGCTTGAAAAATGCAGTGGTTGGTCGTTTTTCTTGTTGGACCCTACTAGTACTCCGTAGTATAAGATCTGTTGGGCCCTAAACAATAAACATCCAAGAAATTCAATCTATTGAACAGTCAACATTCAATGTTTTGGATGTTAATTCTTTCAAATAACAATACGTTTTTCTATGTCCTTATTTGAGAAGACTTTCATAAAGACTTGTAAAAGGCGGAATCACATTAAATTTATTGAATTTTACAATTTTTATGGTAATTTTAATTTGATTGTATTTTTTTTTTTTTTATACTAATGAATTTGATTGTATTTTTTTTTTTTTTGGGATACTAATGAATTTGATTGTATTTTTTTTTTTTGGGATACTAATGAATTTGATTGTATTTTAGTAGTACTCCATGTAATTTCTAATGTATACATGTAATACTAATATGATAAATCTAATACGGAGTACTCGTACATAATACTAACTACTAAAGATTCCTAGTTTTTTATGGTAAAATTTATATTAGCAAAATGATACTTCCTCCTAGTACTAACTACTAAATATCTCATATAGACATATAGTACTAACTACTAAATATCAGCGCCTCTTCTGTGCAGCTGGCCACACTGTGTGGCCAGCGTCCAGCTCAGCAAAATAACAGAGCTTCCACGCGCGCGTCATCAAATTGCCAAAAATAACGGAATCCAAAAAACACGCTGATCTCCACGCGCGCGTCATTTCTTCTTAAAAGCGCGACATTCACACAAATCCCTAGAGCCGCAACTTTAACTTCTCGATTTCACCAAATTCTTCTCATAATCGCGAAAAAAAAATTAACCAGCTACAATGACTGACGAATTACAAAACTTAGCAGAATCACAAGAATCAATGGAAATCGAAGAAATAGGTGATTCATTTTTGAATCTGGAGATTGAAGAGATTGGAAAAAATCCAGAAAATGATGAAATAAAAGGTGTGCAAGGTAATAAATAAAACTTACTCAAATTTTATTAATGGTTATCCCTAAAATGTTATACTGGTAATCCTTATTATACAGTAAGTAACCAATATTACGCAATAAGTAACACTATTACTGTATATAATAAGTAACCTGCTATATAATAAGTAACCCTATCACAGTAGAAAAGTAATCACTATTACGGAATAAGTAAACCCTGTTAAACAATTAATAATCCCTATTGCGCAATAAGTAATCCCTATTACACTTTAAGGGTAACCCCTATTGTTTCGGGGTTTTCTGATGTCCTGCGGGAGAGTTACAATTCCGAGACTGGAACCGGACGCCTGTACCTGCAAAATAACGGAGACTCCTGGTGGTGGGAGCTCCGCCTCCAACGGTCAAGTTAGTACTTGATTAAGGAGTAATTAATGCGGAAATTAAAGTGAGTGGGTCTCTCTAGGTGAGAGTGTTTAATGTGAGTTTTTTAGCGTAATCAGCCTGTAACTCTGTGTGAAATCAATGTGTTTTTTCCGTAATCCCCCTTAATGAGGATTAAGGGAGGTATTTATAACCTTGGGAAACGTGCCAATCCTAGGTTTAGGTTAACCTAGGGCTGATTGGGCTTCCCTCGGTAGTTGGGCCTGGGTGGCCGGTTTCTCCATTAGGCATGGAGTATGCCACGTGTCATGACATAACAGGTCCAAGGTGGACGAATAAGCGCGTGCCACGTGGCAAGCCCTGTCAGTTCCAACTGGGGGACACTTGGCAGGACCTGATTGGCCCACGTGGCGCATTCCGATTGGTGGGAGCAAAATCCCCTAATCATTTGCCCCTCACAGGTGGCACGTGACTGGTCACGTGTTACCTGTGACAGGTGCCGCACTGTAACAGGCGACGGCCTGCTACAGGTGTCAGTCGGCGAAAGGCCGAGAGATTTTCCCGCCCAAATTTTGAATTCTGAAAGTGACCCTTCGCCTTCTCACTTCGCCTATATAAGGGAGAGTTGTCTTGAGTCATTTTCACACTTGAGAACTTTGTGAGAGAACATTCGGACCCCTGAACTTGCTCTGACATTTTGGACCTTTTCTGCCTACCGCCTGTTCTGACAAGCCGACTACAAAGGATTTCCAGAACTTCATCAACCGTCACTCATTCAGGTAACTGTCGTTTCTCTTACTCTTAATTTTCTTTTTATTTTTTGAAATGGCACCACGGAAGCACACGACACGACCTAGGTTAGTGATCAGCCGGTCACCGGGGACGGCTGAATCTAGGACTAGGAGTGCCGCCTGCCCTTTTCCGGACCCATCTTTGCCCTTTATACAAAGTCCGACTGTATCTGTGTCTATGCAGAGCAGGATGGCCAGAACAAAAAAGACTGCTAGGATCTCAAATTCAGACGGCTCCTCCCACAGGGTGCCGATTAGTGAAACATCTGACCAGGTGCCAGATGTGGAAGTGAAACAAGGCGGCCTGAAAGTCGGCAATTCTGAGGGAGGAGTCATAGTGACCCCTTCCCATTTTACAGTTAACAATTCTGCTCCTTTTCAAGGAGAGGAGGCGGGCCCCTTCGGGAGAGGGGAGGAGTCGTCCTCTTCGGACTCGTCAGAGGGCGATTCCGAGTCTAGCTCTTCTGGTCATCCTTCTCTGGACACAGAAGAGAAAAACAGCCTCCTGCAAGAGGCGAGGCTTTCTCACGCAGTTGAGAAGGGGGACAATTGGGCGGAGCCATCCGCCTCTTACCGAGAGCAAAATACCCCCTACTACTGCACGGTACCTCGAGGCCGGATCACAGTCATGCAAGAGAAAGTGGAGAGCTTTATCGCAAACCACACAATGGGCCCCGACTTTTTAGTGTTTGTGCCGGATCCAGAAGACACAGTCGTCTGGCCGGCTGGTACCAGTTATGATAGCGCCTGCTTTGGCTGCTACGAGGCGGCCATCAAGGCTGGGCTGCGCTTCCCATTACATCCGGCTGTTCAGCGGATCTTGGATGGGTATGAGTTGGGGTTATGGCAGTTAGCCCCAAACTCCTGGGTCAACGTACTCGGCTATGTGGCCGGGTGCGAACTGCACGGGGTGGAGCCGAGCTTCGAGGCTTTCGCCCATATGAACTATCTCAGACGGACCCCTAAGGCAGGCGGTACCGGCTGGTATCAATTGACAAGCCACAGGGGCTACCTCATGACGAGAGGTAAAGCAAACAAGTGGAAGGACTGGCGGAGCACCTTCCTCATCATTGAAAAGTTCAGACACTGAGCTGAACAAGCGCTTCAATAGGTGGAACAGGAATCCGCCCTTCTTGTAGGCGGCCGTAGCATGCCGCCTGTTCCCCCCAAGGCTAAGAAAGAGATCCTTGATAAAGGACTCTTTACAGTAGAGTCGAGGGTCGACTCTACTTCAGGGGTACGAGAGCAAGTACCCCTGCACTGCGTCCCGAGCTTCAAATGGCTCTACGACGAGTACTTTTTGGCCGCCTGTGGCCTCAACAGTCGGTGCTCAAGAGGTAGTCGGCCTGTCGAATACTCTGTTGTTCCATACATTTCTTGTTATGACTTTTATTAACTTTGCTGTTTGTTTTTGCAGCTGACGCCATGAGCAAAATCACCGCCTCCAAGACTGCGGCGGCCATGTTGCGGGCCTCCATCATGCAACAAGCTTCAACCGACTCCCCCAAGAAGGGGGCACCCTTGGTGAGCTCCGAACCTTTCACCCTCTTTTTGGAGTTGTGTTTATGCATATACTGACTTTTTTCTTCTTTTTTAGACGGGTGCTCCAAGAACTTCATCTTCCCAACAACCGGACCCCAAGGCCCGGAGGACGACTGTTGCGAGCTCTCCTGGTTCTGCCAGGAAACAGGTGGCGGCTGAGAAACAGCCGGCCACTTCTTCTAAAACTCCAACTGGGCCGCCTAGAAGTATGAAGTTGTCCTTGTAAATTTTAGACTTGCTCCCTTTTTTACTAGGTCAAATCCGTTTGTTTATGCTTGATGCAGCCGGCCCTCAGGAGCCTGACTTGGTAGAGTTGGCCAAGTCTATGATCAGGGTCGTTCCTCCAGCTGAAAGGGAGGCGGTCAGGGGTATCGGCACCCTTGACCTAGACGGGATTGCAGGGGTCCTTGCTGAGGTATACTTAGCATATTTTTGAGTATTTGAATTTCTGGACGCCTGTTTTCTTTTTTGTTTGGAAACTGACGCCTGTTCCTTTTTACTTAGGCCCTGCGCCGAGTGAACGGCCTTCGCAAGCCGCTTGACCGGAAGAACAAAGAGGTAAAGGCTGCAAAAGCCATGGCCGCCTCCAACTGTGATAAGGTAATATTTCAAATTGCCCAAAATGAAGTTCTGACCATTGATATTCTTTATTATCAGGCGCAGGCTACCGCCGCTATTCGGGCTCAGTTAGAGGCGGCCCAGAAGAGGAATGGCGAGCTGGAGGCGACCATCACCAATCTCAAGGCCGAGCTGAAACCTCTTCGCCTAAAGATGTACTCATACGAAGCCTTGGAGAAATCCTTGGCCAACGTAAAGGAACGCCTGGTGACCCAGGAGAA